GTGAAAAATTCGAAATTTTTGTAGAAGTATTAGGAGAACATAACAATCGAGGAGCTATTCACTGAAATTTTCACTGGAAGTGAAAAATTCGAAATTTTTGTAAAAGTATCAGGAGAACATGACAATCAAGGAGCTATTCACTGAAATTTTTACTGGAAGTGAAAAATTCGAAATTTTTGTAAAAGTATCAGGGGAACATGACAATCGAAGAGCTATTCAGTTTTTAACCATTATTTCGATTTATTAGCCACTTACAAAAGAAAAAATTGGAATTATTTAAAAAAAAAAAATGAATGACGGCGGGATCGAACCCGGGCCGTCGGTGTGCTAGCCGAGCACGTTACCACTAGGATAACGCATTGTTACAATATTTTAATTTCATTAGGGGTATATATTTTGAAAAGTTATTTTTTAAAAAAATTTCAAATTTGTCAATTTCACAGAATATCTTCTCGATTTTCAAAAATTCAGTTTTTAAACGATCTTTTGATTGATTAGCCATTAAAAAAAGAACAAATTGGAATTATTTTGAAAAAAAAAAAATGAATGCTGCTAGGATCGAACCCTAGCCGCCCGCGTGGCAGGCGAGCACGCTGCCAACTCGACAACGCGCCAATTTTGAAATTATAATTTCATTAGTAGTATATATTCAATACATTAAATAATTTTTTTCACTTGAAACTCCACAAGATGTGGCTTCCCTCTTCCGCTCGTTGTACAGTTCGCTAAATTTCAGTTAAACAATTAAAAAACAAAAAGAATTCATACCGCAGAAAATAAAATTCACCCCATTGACTTGATAACACCCCAGCATTGCAATAAAAACTTGGTTAATAAAAAAAAAACACCCCAGCATTGCATGTTGCGCCCTCCCTCTCTCGGCGTGCAGTACTACGATGCCGCTGGGTCACTCAAGCCAGTGCTTTATGTGTATTCGCACGTGGTTGTCAAAAAAATATTTGGGGCAGATATTTATCGTTTTTTTGTGAGGGTTCAGGGATTATTTTGAGAAAATGCCGAAGTCCAAGAGAGATAAGAAGAGTAAGTGGTTTTTGATATTTTTTATTTATAAAAAATGACTGATTAAATTGAAATTTAGAAAAAATACTGAGCTAACCTATGGAGGAACTAATTCTCTCCTAAATCAAGATAATTTCAATAATTAACTGAAATTCATTTGACCTGTTGTTTCGATTTTGCAGTATCTCTGACAAAAACCAGTAAAAAAGGAAAAATCTTGAAGGACCACATACTCGAGGATGTGAAGGTCTGCGTGGAAAAATACAATCGAGTATTTTTATTCACATACGCCAACATGCGGAATGACAAGTTGAAGGGGTTGAGGGAGGAGTGGTCAGGCAGTCGTTTTTTCTTCGGGAAGAACAAGATAATTGCTCATGGATTTGGTTTGACCCCTGAGACCGAGGTTGCAGATGGCATCCACAACCTGGCGAAAGTACTGAAGGGCCAGTGTGGCCTCCTCTTCACGAATAAAACGAAGAAAGAAGTCCTTGGCTGGATGGAGGGCTACGGAGAAGAGGACTACGCCAGGGCTGGATTTACCCCCATAGAAACAATTGTCCTCCCTCAGGGACCCCTTCCTGATTTTTCTCACGCCATCGAACCTCATCTTCGTCAGCTGGGAATGCCCACAGCCCTCCAAAAAGGAGTGGTTACCCTTCTTCAGGACTACGAGGTCTGCAGGAAGAATCAGCCCTTGACCCCTGAACAAGCAAGGATTTTAGTATGTATTTTCATCGTTTGTCTCTTCATTTTTTTATACACTTCAATTTTTCAGTCAATAGGCACTTGAAAAAATAATTAATTTCGTTTTCAGAAATTATTCGGCAGGCAATTAGCAACTTTCAAACTCATTCCTTTGGGATTTTACTCGAAGAAAAAAGGATACACCCACCTAGCGAATTCATCAACACCTGAAACCAATGAAGAAGAGATGGAAGCTGAAGACATAGAAAGTTAAACAATATCTGTATTTTTTCTAATAAAATTGTTTTGTATATATCTCTTTGACTTCAAGATGAAACAACTGACAATAGAATAATTGAGTATCTGTCATTTCGCTAGCTGGAAGGATAAATTACAAGTTTGAAGAATCTTCAACAACTTTTGAGGATTAAAAAATATTTTTCTGATATATTCCTGTTATTATGAGTCTCCCTGTGTACACCATTTTTCTAATCAGCGGTCTGGCCTACGTAAGACACGAAAAATGACATTTGAAACTGTAGAATCTGTATTTTATCTGTAAAATGTCGTAGTGTCTCTACTGGTGGATGAGCAAGCCAAAAAATTCAATGAGCTGCAAAATAATATCCCATTTCGATCCCAAACGTCAGAGAAGTGCAACGTCAATCGATTCGATAGAGATATCAGATGCTGAAGAGCTCGTGAGAGAGAGACCGAGGAGGGGAAAACGAGTTACCAGAGCTAAGAAGTGAATCATAAATAAACAAAAATTTCTGGATAAATTGTCTAGACGAATAAATAAGCTGATTACTCTTTATATATTTTCCTTGTTCTTTCTCTTTTTGCTACAGACATTCATGACATTTAGCTGAAGCTCGAACACTTCCAGGGACAGTGAAACTCCTGGAGGAAAATATTTCCAGCTTCATCACATCTTACTCCGAATACAAAAACACATTTCTTTAGTACGATTTCAAACCTTTCGGTATAGCTAAGCGTGTGCAGCGAGTGAGATCTATCTGGTCCATCAAACTTCATTTTTCAATCCATAAAAAAATTAATAATCAATTAACTGAACTACAGGATTAAATTCATTCAAACTATAGTATAAATTCCATGAAAAAAAAATAACTACTCTAATGATAATTGTAAGAAATAATAATGGCCTACAGTATTTACAAACTTGGCGACAAGATTAATCCGTCAATTTCGATTAATCTATCGGAATCTTTCGGCTAGCCTACAGCTTTTTTTTTGTCATTTTTTGTTTAATTAATTATCATTAGCCAGGAAAATTCTGGTTAGACAGAGAATCGCACTGCGACCATCCGAATTCAATTCTGCCACGAAAACAAATCACCGTTTTCAAGATTTTTAAATAAATAGAAAATAATCACAAAAAATAGAAAACGTACAATCAGTTGGTGACTATTTAACTCTTGTCAATTCCCTTGTCGAGGGGTGAAAAGTTATAATCACAACTTTGCATATTCAATTGAGATAAATTCTGCCTGCAAATTTCATCCAAATATCACAACGCAATGAATTCACGTCCACTTCATAATTTTTCCTGTTATTTAAGTCTAAGGTGGCAGCCAAGTGCCAATTGAGAGAGTAAATTGTACAAAAATAAATATAAATTATCTCCAAAAAGACACAAAGGTAACAGTTTCCTTCGATTAATTTTTTTTCACTATCAAAAAATGATGGGGCAATTGCTGGAGACTGACATCTCGATTTTCAATAAATCTAAGGATTAAATCCATTTAATTTCTCGACTAGAAATTCCCTGAAAAGGCAGAATGAAACATTGTAGGCCTCTTCCCTCATTTCCAAAACCAAAAATAATCAACTCATAATAAATAAATTAACCCACTATTCACATATCCATCATTGGAATGCTATCATCTTCACAATTTCACATCCTGCTGACTCATCTCACTACGAAAATACATAAAGCAACGGATAATAACGATCCGATAGTATTTTTTCTCCGCCAAGTATTTGCCTCAAGCGATTGAACAGTGATTTGCATTATTTTTTCAATTCGTAGAGTACAAAAGTTGAATGCGATTGACGACTATTTACTATTATTATCATCGTAATAGTCTCGATTCCGCGAATCAGTGACAGTTATTTCCACGAACACAATGATAACGAAATAGATAAGCAGTTTAGTTTGGTTTTAGGATTTTCAGCGGTAGGATTACTGAATCGCCACTACTTCGCTCAAAATCTCTCCGATGTTCGATAGCTCCTGAATGGGATCACGCCAGTACGAAAAATTGCTGAACTCATCGGCGGCGTCCTCCCGAAGGGCCGGGAACAGGTGATCGACGATGAAACTCATGTTTGAATACCTGAAATCCAATAAAACCGAAAAAAATTAATAAAATTGAAACGATCCGAGAGGTGCATGGAATTAGCTGCAATGAAAATGTAGTAGGAATGTTAATCATAGAAATTTGAATAATAAAATGACAGCGAAAGTCCCCCAGGTGTCATGAGCAATAAACGAATGATGAACTGAAAAAAAAATCTTGTGAATTGTCAATGGGAATGGATTAGAGTGTCGTGATTACCATTGATTCCTCTCTAGAACTCCCATCACCCGAAATTCCTCGGAATTCGTAATTCCCTCATGATGGGATAATCGTGAAAGGCGAGGGGATTTTGTCGAAATAAAAAAAAAACAGAAAGCAACGATGAAAAAAGATTCTCTAACGAGTGCTTACCCTAATCAATAATATGTGGCAACAACCCAATACCATGTGAATCGTAAAAGCTACTCTCAATTCATAAAAACACTGGGTTGAATACTTGATAGCGCTTGATACTCTGTAGAATACTTTCCCTTATCCCTATCCTTCATTTAGTAAAAAAACTTTGGAATCTCTTGAATAAATAAAATTATTCTGACTGAATAATTTCTGAATTGCACTGGTAGGCACTGGAAGAATATTTAAATATTTTCTAATTCTCAGAGGATGATTTTGTTTTTTTAATTGTCTATTGCTGTCATCATTGGACTGTGGCATTGGGCTGAGGCGGGAACAACTCATTGACGATATCGCTCTGACAAGCATAACTGCAATCATAGAAATCCCCCCTTTTGAATATTCTAATTTTTTAAATAATTTCAATCAGCAAACTCTCAGGTCTCACTCGTCACTCCTTGTGGTGTTAAATATAATTAATAAGTGTAAAGTAAAGAAATAAAATTCCAGAAAAAAGGGAGAATTAAATAGAGTAAAAAATAAAATCCAGACAAACGTGGGAGATTTCCATTCTAGTCTGTAAATCAGTTAGTGGCGAGACATCACAATCAGAAAATACAAGTTAGTATTAGCAGGATTGACAAAAGTGCAGTGATAATTATTGTAAATAAACTTACGATGACTGGAATGTTTGCGTCAGCTCGTGCTTCAACTCCCCACGATGATTAATCGTGAAAATTCTCATGATAGGAATACCAACAGCTCTGTACGCCCAGACATCATTGATTCGATTGCCATAACCAGCATAAAAGGGTTTAGAGCCATCAGGGAAGAGTGCCTGAATGTCACTGAGACAAGAAATCTTGAATCTCTCAGGTTTCTTCTCAATAACCTCCCGGTGGAATGCAGAAATCAAACTAGTGGGATTGAGCAGCAGTGGTCCCTCAGGGAGTGAAAGATCCCCTTGTTTTATACTCTTCAGGTACTCTCTGGTGACTCTTGCCTGACCAATAGCCCGAGCAGACAGGTACAGCAGTTTGTACCCATTATTTTTTATTTTCGTGAAGAGCTGAGCGACTCCAGATTGGGCCCAATCTTTTCCCACTATCGGGAGAATGTGTCCCAGGACATCTGACTTTGTAATAGTCCCATCGATATCCGAAATAACGATTTTATCGTTCCACTTCCATCTGTAGATGTGGCACTTGCACCTGGTGGTACCCTGATAGGCAGTTGTCACGCTGAAGACTACTTCGTTGGGGCCCTCCTTCAGGTTCAGGCTTGCTATCTGCTCGGATGACAATCTCAATGTTTTTCTGTATTTTTCGGTGGGTTCGTAGTAGGGCCTGCGTTCCTTCGGAATCTTCACACCCTGGGGTTCGTTCTGGTTGCTGTCTGAATCTTCTGAGCCACTGTAACCCTCTCCCTCACGCTCTGCGGATTTCTCCGAGATCTTTGATAAGTCCTTTGGATCCTCTGGGCTGCTGGAGAGCAGGAGTTCCACCTCCGGCTGGACAGAAGTATCTTCACGGGATTCTTCTTTTAATTCTCTGTGAGAAAATTGCGACAATTTTTTTATATCAATTAACTTGTACTTGTAATTTTTAATTGAAAAATATATTTTTCTCATGAAGGACTTACTGTGTTGTTTCAGGACCAGATTCGCCAGCTGTTGCTGGGGATTTTAATTCACTAGAGAGCTCTGAAATGTGTCCTTTAGATCCATCTTGAATTAAAAAATCGTACGATTACTGGAGGATAATCCCACAGGAAGCGAAAAAAAAATCATTCACCGGATGTTTATAAATTTTACCTTCGTTCATCTCTGATGATTTTTTCGGTGGTTGTGAGGAGGCTCTCCTCCAGGAGAACCAAGAGCTGTAACTACTCCTGACCTCATCAGTCTTACCCACATCCTGGAGTACACTCCCCTCCTTTTTATCTTGATGCATTGGCAATGAATACAAATTTTCAATAGTGTGCTGTGGCAAACACCTCTGATAAGCAGCTAATGTGACAATAATTGGACAGGCACTTGTCCAATTGTAAAACTTTCCATTGATCTTAACAACCAAATTTGGATTATCGAATAGTTTAATGTCGGTGCAAATGTCCTCGAATCGCAGTTGATTCTGATGAAATGATTCTTCGGTGGGGCCATTATCAGTATCGAGTCCACCGCACAATGATAGGCTCACATCGAAATTTGAATCGAACATGGATTGCTTTTGCTCATCAAAATCACTATCTAGGGATTTCGGACCTCCAATGGCACCCTCTACGCTATTTGGACTCTGGGGTAAACTCGGACCATTTCCTGATTCCGTGTCTTCCTCGTCCATTGCTTTTCTCTCTGTAAATTCACACCAACAGCCCCATCACTCCATTGCTCCAATTTTCCAATAATTATAGCATTGAAAATCAAATTTTCCCATAATGTTTTCTCTATTTAAAAACCCGTTAAACTATCAAATTTGCTCAGCAACAATTTTCCAACCGTTATTAGATTTTTAATCGATGGCCAACTCCACATGTTAAGGTGCATGCGTTACATGATTAAAATATCCAAGAGATATTTAAACATTTTTGGACAAAAAAGTATTCCAATGGTTCAATTGAGGGGAAGGAATTTCACGGTCTCTCTTGGATATTTTAAATGACTCCAATGAACAATGAAAAATAAAAATAATGAGCATGAGAAAGAGGCAGTGATAACAGCAGTAGCACAGCAATGTAAAATAGCAAATGATTTTGGCAGCTGGAAAATAAAAAAAAAATACCTTTGGCAACGGTAGCTCCACGATGTGAAGTTGGAAAATACAACGCAGCAACTTCTGGATCCAACTCATCGGCATTCAAATCACTGAGATAAATTCCCTCCGATTCTGGATTGTGCCTAACACGCGAAGTTTTCTTCATGAAGGAGAACATACCGCTGAGCATTGAACGCTGTGCCTCAGCTGCCATGAAGCAATTGTTAGCAAATTAATTTTGTTAGTTGGAAAATTGTGACAAGCTGATGATATGTTTAATCATGAAATTTATCTGAATCGAATTCTGAGAAAACAATCCTCCAATCTTACCCTGAACAAGGGATTGATCGTTTTTCCTAGCATAAAAAAAAAATCATTCCATCAATTTACCATCACTCTGAGGTGCAGAAGTAGCAGATGAACTCATGGGATGTGTCTCTGGTGGAGGGCTAGGCAGCTCTCCCCATCTCCAGCTTTGCTGATGTCCTTTATCCTCATCCCTCTCCTTTCCCTCCTGCTCGATTTTCCTCATCTCAAACTCAGTATCCGATTGCACAGGTGAACTTGGCCTAGAATCCCGGTTCCTTTTAATGTAGAAAATGAAAAAAAAAAACATCAATTTTATAATTACATCGACTAAGTGTCCAGTGTCATCAGTGAGGATGTAGAGTGTGTCGAGGATATCCAAGTGGTACCTTGAACATCCCCCAATCTGAATGTCTTGTGCTACAACATGCCTACAAAGCCATTCATCAAACTCTACTCATTCCCCAGGCATAACTCACTTTGTTATCTCAGTGTCACTGAAGAAATGAAAGTCAGTGTCCGGCGGGGGATTACCCTCAACAGGCAACTCTTTCTCCTCAGGCTCAACCTGAGGCACCTCAGCAACAATCTCGCTCTCACTGACCTCCGTCTGACTGCTGCTTCCATTGCTCGTCTTCCTCTGTGAGCCCTTCTTCTTCATAATGCTCTTCCTCTTCCTCTTTCTCTTCGACATCGATGGTGTCTTCGTGTCCTCTGTCACCTCCTCCTTGACATTCTTCTTTTCAGCGCTGACAATGGATTCATCACTGGATTTCTCCTTGGCACTGCTCTGCGGATCATCGGAGATGGGTCTGAAGTCGTTATTAACAACACTTATTTTTCTGATCCTCTCCGTGGAGGTGACAGCAACGAAGGACTTGGGAGTGGAGACCACTGGTTTCGGCTCCTCATCGATATTATCCATATCAAAGATCTCCTCCTCAATCTGTGGTGGATTTTTTTCAATCACCTTCTCCTGGATCTCATCCTTGGACCTCCAGTCGTTCAGCAACGCCTTCTCGAAGGATGGCCTTTGCTCAGCTGGTAGCTCAGGAAAATTCTCCTTGAAAAGTCGCTCCCTGTCCTCAATCTTCAACGCTGAATACTCATCCCGGATCATCTGCTGCTTTTGGAGCGTCGACATGGTGCTGACACTCTCCTTGAATATCTTATCTCTCTCCTCATAGGTCATGGATGCTATAACCAGCCACTTGTCTCGTTCATCAGCTGGGAGATCTGAAAATTGCTCGATAAGAAATTTCTCTCGCTGGTCTGGAGGCAGAGACGACATCTGCTCGAGCTTCTCACGCTCAATCGAAATGACCGAGTCCCTCAGGATCTTCTCGTGCTGCTCCTTGGGAAGATCCGACAGCAGGTGAAACCTGGGGGGTGGAAAGCAGTTGTCCTCTGGAATCGGTGAGCACGCCAGGTGCGGTGGAATCTCTGCAATCCTGTGAAAGCCATCATAGGGGACTTCCTCGACGAAAAATGCCTCACCCGAGTCCCCCAGCTTCATGTGAATCTGCTGAGGCTCACCATTAATTTCTATATCCACCTGATGATAAATAAAATTTTTTTTAATCCCTCGATCAGAGACTAATCAATAGAAAATTAATATATTGATGATGAACTTTGGATTCTCAATGACTCACCACTTTTTCTCGAGATCTGAGAACCCCGAGCTTTCCAAATCTAACATGAAATGGTGAACAACTGAATGAGCCATCTTCCTGCTCAACGACAATCACATCGATCGCACCAGTCAAGGTAGCAGCATTAATCTCGTTGTAAAAATCCCGAAAATTGCTGATAAACTTTCCAATGTAGTTCATGCTGTACATGATAATGCCAAGCACACAGCCAGTGCCAAATAACCGTGCGAATTATAATCAGGCTTCCTGAATCTCTCCCAATACTCAATGAGGCCCTCACACCATGAAATAACGTATCCCCTTTGTCTGGACAGGCTGGAGCTGATTTAATCAATCGCAGTTGTGTCTCATCCAATGATTCTGACACTGAGTGATACCGAATTACTCCATTACGTCGTCCCTTGGCATTTTAGCACCTCAAAATTACTTCTGGCTGTTGTCTCTCATCAATGTTAAATTAATTAACAGTCTGCAGAGAATTCCTGGGCAAATGACACCCCCAACGATTTTTTCCCCGCACAAGTGATCCCCAGGAAGTGACGAAAACCCTCGAATTCACCACCAGGATGTGGTATCTATTGTTTAACGATTTTTATGGTTTTTTTTTTCACTTTCACGGGCGAAATTGACGTGCTGTGTACGCCCTTGAGATCCTTTGTCCCTCTGGGGGCTCTCCTGGGTTATCTCACTGGACTGAGCCTACCACCGGCCCTGTATACACGTTTTTCCAGGAGGTGGGGGACACTCCACCAGGGAAACGTCAGGGATCACGTGGTGCTGGTTAAACCCAATGACAGCTCAGCTGTATCACAACTCTGGTCGATAAAGACGACTAGACCACGTGATCGCAACAGCGGAAATTTCGAGTTCTGAAATTAAACAATTGTTTTTTCATCCATTATTCATTCATTCATTCATTCATTTCATATACTCTGAGATTAATATTTTGGATAAGAAAGATTGGACAATACTGATTTTAAGAATAGGTGTCGATATATTTTTTTGGGATTTCCGAAATTTTTTCGATAAGAGTGGAATAAAAAAAATTTGTGAGTTGCGTAATCCTGGGATTCAATCGCGTGATTTATCGCTTTTGTTCGAGAATTTTGTTATTCATTGGATTTAGCGTTTACGTTCTGGTGAGATGATTAGAGTTAAAAGGTTTAGACTTTATTCGGTATCACGTTGCACGTTGTGTCACTGAAATGATTTAACGGAACGGTGGAAAATACTGGAACGTGTTGGAAATAATTCTACGTGATTGGCTATTACTCATGAATTAATAGCAGCGGGTTATTTTACTCAGTCATGCTTGTACGTTACAATTTTCCCTGAAATTCCCATGAACATTGAACTGCCACGTACCACTGACAGAGTAATTGAACGTTGTACCTCGGGTCATAAACAAAATGTCGAGTGAAAAGTTGAGAATGATTTTCTGAATTCTCAGAATCAATCCCCATCAATTCATAAATGAGATTTTAATAGAAAATTCTTTCAGAGAATCAAATTGGGAGAATAAACTCATGACCTTCGGACTCAAATGAGTCATTGATTGATTGACGGAATTCATTTGCCTCTGGGATTTTTTTTTTTGGCAGAAACCAGTGGGAAATTCCACTTTTGCGAAATAGATACAGTCGCTCAGCATCTGGATCTTGTTCAAGCTGAAACAAATAGTTGGGGATTATTTCTCAAACGAGATGCTGAGACGATTTTTATTCTAGAGAGAAGAAATGGTAATTGAAAATGAGGAAAAATTTACATATTTATGTGGAAGTCTTCTCTGACCTTTGGCCGCAAACATTTGCATGAAATGTTGAAATCTGTCGCAGTTAATTTAAAGTCGTGAATGTTTATTCAATTTCCTGGTTTTGGTTCCATGACAGTTTGGGAATTAATGGATTCTCCACTGTTGCTTCATTGATCGAATTAATCTGATCAACTGATTGAATATGTTACGTCATGTTATCGGTGGATGCAGTTCAAATAAAGGACTTGGCGAAAGGCTGACGACTTTCCTATTGCATCAACTATTACGTCGGTGATTACTCATCGAGTAAATAAACGTAGAGCATGTTTATCGCTCATTCTTCTTGGCACACGTTAATAACAAACATGTTTATCTAGTGTCACGAGTATTGTTGTGATGAGTATCTCGTTCAAAGTCTGAGAGTCATATTTTCGGGGGGAAATTGGAATTCAGACAGAATCAAAATTTTCAGGATTCATCCGACGATTTGGACTCAAATTCAAGTTTAATTAGTCATCGTCTCGGGCTACTGGCCAGACCTAGTCTGCCAGACCGGAAGTTGAACTGCTCTACTCAAAAAATAACTCAAAACACTCGAGATCTTCATTGTAAGTCGTGAAAAACATTTGAATTTACCAGAAAAAAATCTGAACTACAGATTTACGGAGCAAAAATCCCCTGAATAAATTCAACATAAAATTTGATAAAATGAATTTTCGTTTTTTGATGAAAATATCTAATTATACGATTTTAGAAAGAAAATTGACAGATTTTTCTGTCTTTTCTCCAATTAAAATCGATTTATAATTCCTCTGAATTTCTCACGACATTATCAATTAATAATTCATGAATTCCCCGACAACTGAATGAAAATATCGCTCATTAAAAATATCAAAGAGTTTCAACAGAACTCAGTGGAGAGAGAATTTCTTTGTCGACGCAATAATCACTTGTTTTGTCTAATTCCCATTATTCAATTAGATAACAATTATCACTCATGAATTTACAAGCACACAGACTGGGGTGTGAGTATCCGGTTTTCTTCGTCACCCTGACGAATATAAATATTAGTAAACAACAATTAAACCAACAATCCAACAATCACCTGCATTCAACCAATGATTAATTACCATTCGCTGCCAATTACGAATTACAAAAAAATTGTCTGACTCCTTCTAAACAATTGGAGCAGATTTTCTTTCAAAAAGTAATTCGAGTTGTTAATGAGTAATCAATAAATAGAATTTTCAATCTCAAGGGCAGTCTGACACACTTTCAGAATCGACTGAGACCGAACCCAAGAAATAGAACGTCTTTTGTGGATTTCGTCACGGTATCGAGCGTATAAAAATCGCTGCAATTAGGAATAACGTTCTGTTAAGTTCATTAGTAAATTAGGACACATCTGAGTCTATTTGTGTTCTTCCTGCCCCCTCCTGTCTCCCAAATGATGACAGAGACATGACCGATTTCTCCGTTCTCTTTGCTTCTCGTTTCGCTCAGTTTAATCCCAACTACTCCACCTTCTGAGAATTTCTTTGAATATGTCAATCAATTGGAGAAGATCCATTGATCATTACAATGATCCATTAATCCATTGATCAAGAATTAAAGAACGTCTGGTAAAATATAATCAAGAGGTCTTATCGCATTCATCGAGCAGACAATGAGCAATTTGTTCGATGAGTTCATTCTGGTTTATCAGACACCAATCATTTAAAAATACGGAAATTGCAGTTGACCCTTGGCCTTTGTCCAGTTCTCTCGGCCGTGGACGTGGCACTGGCAAAATTTCTATTTTCAAATGAATTATCGTTCGAGGAACTAGAAGAAAGTCCGATTTTCCCATTTCCCCACGAATTCCATTCGATAATTTAAATTTAAAAAATTGTGAGAAGAAAACCAATGGAAGAATTGAATTCATTTCAATAAATGAATTAACTCTTATCGCATTCACTTATCACTCGATGAATAATTTTAATAAAAAATTCAAAGACTCACAGAATATCCCGCAGTTAATTCACAGCTGTTGTGTCTTCTTCACGTAAAGTTCAATCACTTAAAATATCGTAATCACGTTTTGAGTGAAGAAGCTGAATAAAAAAAAAAACACATGCACTCCGGATGAGCGTCAGACTCTGACTGAAAGTTTTATCGTCGAAACGGCGAAGTTACTCCAACCAGTGCGTACATATCCCCTTCTCTTGGCTATATAATAACGTTGTTTTTCTCAAAGTTGTATTGTAACTAAAACGTGTTTATGAGGAAGGCCCAATGCCATTGGTTGAGGCACGTACGAGCCCTCGACATGTGCGTATCAACGAAATTGAAAGAATTCATGATGAATCGATGGTGTGAGAGGGGAAACAGGTGATGGAGGTTGACCCATTTTTCAATCGTCTGTGACGTCTTCTCCGCAGTTGCAGCAACCGAAATTCCACGTCTGAAATAATAAAGAGAAATGTATAAAACCGGAATTATTTTCATTGTATCAACTAAAATATTAATTATCAAAGTTTATAATTATTCATCTGCCAAAAAATGAACGTTCAACTCAATAAAATTGATGAATTCATTTTTTGTTTATTTATCAATCATTTCAGTCGATTGATTCTTAAAATTTGAAATTTGCAGCATCGGGAATTTCGGAGTGTTTGTTTATAAAAATAATAATCGAGCAGAGTATATGGAAATTTTGCAAGGTATAACATTAAAAAAAAGGAAAAACATGTTTATTTCAAACGCAAAAGAGGAGGTAGTCGAATTACTCAGGCACGTGCATTATTATTTCCTTTTCTCTTCTCATTATTGTTCCTTGGACTTCTCGAGAAATGGAGAGGTATGCTTTCACTGCGAATTATAACAAAAGGTCGTTCCCCGATTGTTACACTCGAGTCGCGGATACATCGATTATTACCCCGGCATTACCATTATTTTCTAGCGATATTGTATGACTCGAACGTACGAGTGCAATGCAACCTGCGATAATATTTATCGTGAAAGGATAGAATTATAATCAGATGTTTGTTTTGACGGGAAAACAACTCGTGCAACTAGACGCGCCATTTGATTCATCTCTGACAAAAACAAAAGTTTCATTTTATTTTTTAAATTATTCAATTGAATCCCAAGTTATTCCCCCTATCTCATAATAATTTTGCAGTTAACATTATTCCCTAACGAAAATATTGTTGGAGTATATTATTTCATTACTTTTTCCTTAATTAATTTTTTTTATGGGAATTTTTCCATTTTTTAACAATTTTTTTCGTTTGACGCACATTCAAACGGCTGTAGGGGTTGAAGGGTGAGGAATAGGGGTAGAATACCTCCGACCTTTTCCGCGGGGAATTTTATGCTCCACAATTTTGCATACCACCTTGTTATCCGTATCTAACGTACTTTCCGAGTTATTCGCAAAAGAACAATTTTCGAGGGAGTTTATATTTTTTAAAAATAACTTAAAACAATTTGTTTGTTATAAAAAATACACACTCCTGTCCAAAAATCATTATGGATATGAAAAAAACATGTGGAGCTGGAATTGACTGGACCAAATGATCTTGTTTTTATTTTCTATTTTTATTTGCACTAGTAGGGTCACTGCCCTAATACGAATCCACATCGTCCGGTTAAAGTCGTACCATTACATGCGGCTTGAACGCTCGATTAGATAAGTGAAAGGCTTCACTTGATAATTTCAGGGAATAATTTTAATTCCCCAGAAACACACGTTGCCCCCATGAATATTCCAAAAGGATTCAACAAATAAATAAACAATCAAAATTTCGTGAAGTCATTCAAAATCACTTCAATTCCATTTTAATTTCCGATTCATTTCCGATTAATTTCATCATCTATCTCTGAAGAAACCTCGAGGACACCTAATTACCTACAACGACCTCGTTTTTTTTTTTCTCTCAATAATAATTCGGAAGGCAATCGCACCATCAGCCGGGACCAATGAAAAAACCCGAATTTTTTGAGTGGATTGATCAAGTTCATTCAATTGCGAAAGAAAGTTACACATGGGGAGAGGGGAGAGGGTAACGCGTGTTTCCAGACTGACCAATGAGTGTTGAGTATTTTTTGGGTTGGTGATGATTCTGATTGTTGATAAAAAATCGAAAATATGCTTTGGGAACAACAAATAACGAAATGCGGAAATTATAGCTAAACGAGTTATTGGCTGATATTTTGAATATCTCCTTATCTAAGGAAGATAATTAAATTTTTGTAATGAACTTTTTTGTGGAGCGAATCGAGAGTTATAAAAAAGGTGGTGATGAAAATTTTGATATCTGTCTCAGATTCCGAGATATTGGTTGATGAATGCTGTAGCTAAATGGTAAACGAATTTTTCGCGAGACCAGTTTTTAGCCGATATTTCGAAATTGAAGGAATACATCGGATTTTTCATATAAACATTTTTTATAGAAAAGACTGAGATCCACAAAAAAGGTATTGATGAAAAAATCGTTATCTTCCTCCAATTTCGAGATATTGTCAAAAAATTGGTCTCGAAAAAAATTCACTCGTTCTAATTCACCACTTCGTTACAGAATAAATAATTGTTGAGACCGATTTGAACCGATTTAGCGCTTGATTGCTACTGATTCACATTCAGGCTTAGATGGAATTCACGTATGGAAATATATTTTGCTGCATTGTAACCCAGAGGGGCGATAAGATTATTTTATGGACATGTTTGTTACTGAAAAATGAGGAAGTTGACTCGGGTTACACTTGGCTCTGGTTTTCAAGGTGCCGATAGTGATGGAAAATTTAACGGTCCGATAAAGGAACTATTGATTTATTCATTAGCAGGTGTAAACACTCGGAACTGTTGTGAGTCAGAAAAGACAGGAACAAAGAATCTGATAAATAAAATAGAATTCACTGGATGAACTTTATAGCAGTTCGCGAAAATTGAGAAAAATCTCAGTAATTAATTAACTAATTCTCAATAAATTAATCCTGCGAAAAAGTATGCAGCTTTGACTCTGAAAACGTTCAGAATACGTAATGGACTTTTATCTGTTTTACGTTAGATGTTTACGTACTGAAAATTGTTACGTAAGACTTTACAATTTGATCCCTTTCTCAGACGCCAGCAAAATTAGAATTCTCTGCTATGACTCTGATTCATCATTTGCATCAATACCTCAACATCGTCATCATTGCTAATTTCTTAATTGTTATTTTCTGAATGAACAAGTTGTTTTTGCAGACGTCAATTACTCTGAATTGATGAGAAATTAATGACCGAAGACATCAAACCTTTCGCTCTTGATTTTTTGATGGCATTCGGTATTTGGAATTTATTTTCGCAGACCCCCACTCTTTGGAGATGATTAAATTGTTATCAACGGGTGATAACAGGAACTTGTGGGAATCGATTGAACTTCACGACGGAAGGGGTCAGTCTTTGTCGGACAAAACTTCTGATAAATCGGAATAATTAAAACGTTATCATTCCGCGAATCTTTCCGGACATATTGATGATTTTTTATGATTTATATTCTGGATTTTAATTTTTGAAAATTGAAATTTTATGAACTGTTGTTGTGGAATTTTAAGATTTTATCAGATTCTTCGCTAATTAATAATTATGATTAATTAATAATTCGTACTTTTGGACATTAAGACCTAGTGAACTGATTCATGTCGACTGACCTCGATCCGCAGATCCTAAACCCTCAAATCCACAAGTGCCAGATCCAGAGAAAGTGTTCGCATTGAGATAGCAGGTCACCAGGTCACCCAGTGTAAAATCGAGAAAGTGAAACTCACCAGCTCCAGGGAAACCTCCTTCCCGAGGTCATTAAATGCGAAATCAGGGTTTACCGGAGAGTGAGAGTGATCCAGAGGTGACTGGACTCTCCAGCTTTCTCAAAACGTCAAGTTCAATCGAGAATTACGCAAGAGCCCCAACAAAATTCACCAACTCCTTGAAAAAATAAAATGCTCAATCAGCGATCAATGTACCATCCCAAAAAATCATTTATCTCCCTTCATCGGATCACTATCAACCGAGAAAAATGCCGGAGTAGGTAACACCAGAGAATTGGATCAAAGATAGAGTGAGTGACCAGCGATATTTCACGAATGATAAGATACGAGGTACAATGTATCAAAAATTAATCGATGGGCTACTTCGTAAAACTTCGTAAACGTTTGCAGTCCTTCCTCAAATCTACATCATCCAGCCATGATTCTGTGGATTGGAATTGTTCTGGTAGCCCTTGGCGCTAAAATTCAGAGTCTCGACGCGATCGATCCAGAAATCAATGATGAGTGAGTACCAATCTTAATGATCCCTTGATTTCCAATTCCTTCACTCCCACAACATGAATTACTTGTTGAAGAAATCTCTCGGTGATGAACCAAATAACCCAAGTGGATCTCAACAATTTGTTCGACAAGTCACTCCCCCTGATCCAGAAGATGATCATCAAAGGGGGACTGGACCCCCTCAACATGCCAGATCAGATCCTCTCCATCAGCGATATAGTAAATATGAGACTTTTAATATCTCCGAATGACTGAGTAAATATCTCTGGAATTTCCAGCCAGGACTGAACCCAATGATTCATCTACAACGGGGATGGGTCCAGGAGACTGAAACAATCAAAAGAAGTGGTGACGTTATCGTTCGTTACGGTGGCAAAGTGATAGAATTCGATGCAGCTCTTGGTTGGAACCACTTGGACGTGAGTATCAACATGTCAACAATTAATTAGTGCTGATACCAATCAATTTCAGGCGACGTACACCTACACCTTGCGGTATTTCCTCTTCACTCGAAAGGGTACTTTCAACGGGCGCTTCGATGACGTCAAAGTCCAACTCCTCGGCTCCTTCGACCTCAACACCCGCAAGATCAATCTCCGGTTCTTCAAAATCACAGGAATCGGGTAGGTATCGCACAATCTGTAATACGAGTTGTTGTTAATTTTTTTTTATCACTGTTTGCGTAATCTGGAGTGATAAGGACTGGTAATCATTTTAATTACGATGTTTTAGGGGTTTTTCACTCAAGATTCATGGCCATCTGCTCGATCACGTCCTCAATGCCTTCACTAAGGTCGTCACCATCTTCTCCAGGGATTTGGTAGTCCGGGAGATTGAGTACAGGTTTGAATTAGCTCTTCAGGATAAGATCAAGGAGGTCAACGATCTGATTCCGGAGCCTTACAGCTTCTTTGAAGAACTACTCTGGAATTATGAAACCGATTCAATTGATTTATCCATGGATCACTTTAAATAATAATACAATAATTCGTTAATAAAATACACAAAATAAATTTGAATTGTGGACTTGTTACCGTCTGTGGATAATTTTCCTCATGTCTTTATCAAGCATCAGCTAGTTATCTCCTGGATGAGAAGTTGAAAGTTAAATCGTGGGATGTCATCCGATTTCATATTCAAAATTCAATTCCTTCGATTTTTAATTGGATCAAGACCAAATGGAAATTATGATTGACTCATGATTTTAATGAAGGATATTTCGAAGATATTTGTTCAGATAATCAGTACGTAAACGAGTAATTACGCAATGATTAGGGAATGTAGTCACGGGGATGTGATAATTAATCGTGTCTGAAGAGAAATAAAATGTGAAATCTGAATATTGAATCGGCACTTTTTCCCGAGGGAAAGGTGAACCATCAGAAAGTCGTTCAGTGTTTTATCAGGTCACTAGGTCAGAGGGGTAAAAGTGAAACTCATTGGTAGATAGAAACTTCCATTTCCCGAGGTCATCGAGAGTAAAATCCAGGAGTTGTCAACATGAAGAGTGAGAGTGATCCGAGAGCATTGACATCACCGCCAATTCAAGTTCAAGTTCAGAGAGAATTCCACAAATAAAAAAATCAGCCTCCCCATCCCCGCGTAAAATTCCCAGAGCTGTCTATTTGATTTTGAATTCAACCTCGAGTATGTATTGACTGAAAGCAACTGAAAGCAACTGAAGATGTTTCAATGGTGTGCAAATAGCACTCGAGATAAGATATCTCCGGTGGATTTGGGAATAAAAAGCCTTGGAGGCAAGTGGTTCCTCAGTAGATCGTCATCGGTCTGTCAGGTACAACGGGTGCAATCTAATTATGATTTTCCGGATTGTATTTCTCATCTGCACGACTGCAGTGCTGGTCTGTCATGCAGACAATCCTGAGAACAATAGTCTCGATGGAGAGTGAGTTGAGATAATTGGAGTCATCTCCCTTGATTGATCTCATTAAATCGGGATTACGTCGATTTCAGGATTACGCGAGACCATCGAGTTACTGAAATCAATCTCAACCGGTGGTTCGATCACTATCTTCCGTTGATTAAAAAGTACATGGCGATGCATAACATGGAGCCGATGAGTTTACCAAAGATGAGCTTGCCTGTTCCGGATATTGTAATTCATAATTTTTTTTCACATTAAATTTCAAACGAAATTTTAAATCCAGTCTCTGGAATTATTATTATGTCTAGCCCGGATTCAAGCCAAAGGTTGAACTTAACAACGGATTACTTCATGGAGCCTCAAACATTACTAGATCTGGGAATATTATTCAACGTGTCTATGGGGAATTAGTCGATGTGGACATGCAGCTCGACTGGAAAGAATTACAGGTCAGAATCGAAAAAAATAATCAAGAGAATTAAATCAGTTATTAATTATGGGTTAATGAGTTCAGGTGGATTACGATTACTCCTTGAAGTATTTTTTCTACAAACGCAGAGGAGGTCTGACCGGTAAATTCGGGCATTTGAATGTTGGCGTGATGGGATCGATCGACTTCAAATCTCGGAAAGTCGATCTGCGTTATCTGAAAATCGTGGACGCTGGGTATTTACTGGAGTATAATTTAGTAAAACGATTTACTGGAGCTTGAGATGGAAGTTAATTAAATTCTCAATTTCTCAGGGATTTCTCTCTCAAATTGCGGGGACACTTGGTCGACCCAGTGGCCAATGCCGGTCTGAAAGCCGTAACAATCGCCTTCCGGAAGCGAATGCTACGAGAGATGGAATATCAGATGAACGCAGCAGCTCAACTCAAGATTCAAGAAGTTAATAATTGGCTAGCTGATCAAACAAGCATTCCAATTCCCCATTTAACAGATGAATTACCGGAAATCTCTCTGTAATTCCCGATACAACCGATAACTCTGAATAAATCATATCCATAAATCTCCAGAGAAGTTTGAAAATATGATTTTGATTGAGTGCCTCTCGATGATACCACTGATGGAAATAATCCATTAGATAATTGACTTCCGAGAGACACAACCGATGGATTTTAATCTCTCAATTCACCCTAAAACAAATCGACCTGAATCCCTGAATCAATCGATTGCCGTTCAATCGACTGACAAAACTACCTGAGACCCATTCCCCTGATACTCAAGCAATCAATTCACCATTCGATAAATTTGGGAAAGCCATTGACCACTGAATGATCGTTATCGCTGTTTCGAGTTTCGAGTAATTAAAGCAGCACTTCAATTTAACAATTAGGAATTTCTGGAATGTTACTGATGAATGTGCAGTTAAATACACTCACGAGAATTGCTCGAGTTATTCTAATTATTCCGCGCATGTACTTGGAGATTAAAGCTATTCCAAGCCCTCCAGTGAAACGCAATCAATGACAATATTGATAGTATATTTCATTGTTGAAGGGGTGGGATTCGATGAGCAGTGAAATGATAACAATGGGGGGACGAATAAAGAGACCAAGTGGTTATATTTTTATTGAGGAGTTGGACCAACGGAAATAATGGGAATAATATTTCCCTTCGAGTTCAAGTGAAATATTATCTTCTCAAATAAATTACAATACCGTCTAGTGAAATATTTCATTGGAAAAATTCATGCTTAATTCGTTATTCAATTTATTTGTTATCTGGATTATTAAGAAATTATTAATTGCGTTTAGAATTGAATGGGGTCGAGTGTATTTTTTTTAAGAGAATTTTCTGGTATTTTATGTTTAAATTTTTGATGTTGCATGCACCTGATGACTTGTTATCATCCTTAACAGAAATACTTGGCAAATGAACAAGAGAAAGAGGGGAATAACGAGAAAAGATAGGAAAGCAGTTATCGAGCGGCCCTGGTCCTGGGTATCTGTCTGGGTAGGACATGGGTGAAGCGTGCACTAGCTCCATTCCTCATCCTGTCCTTTCCTCCCACCCAAGAAAACCTGGGCGAAACCAGAAAAAAATCATGATGCCTAATGTTTCTCGAAATAAAAAGAT